GAATGCTTGGAAAACAGCCGGAGCGTTGGAAAGGCCGAAGGGCAGAACGCAGTACTCAAAATGCCCTCTGGGGGTGTTAAACGCTGATTTCCACTCATCCCCCGCTCTTATGCGAACCAAATGATAAGCATTGCGGAGATCTAATTTTGTAAAAAAGTTCGCCCCCTGCAGACGTTCAAAGGCTGAAGACATCAACGGCAAAGGGTATGTATTCTTGACCGTTATGTTGTTCAGCCCTCGATAATCAATGCACGGGCGAAGGGAACCATCCTTCTTTTTTACAAAAAAAAATCCCGCCCCCGCCGGTGAAGAAGAGGGGCGAATGATCTTGGCTGCTAGAGAATCAGAAATATATTTCTCCATGGCCTCCCTCTCTGGAGCAGAAAGCGAGTATAATTTGCCTTTAGGCGGAGACGTACCTGGCAATAAGTCTATTGCACAGTCATAGGGACGATGAGGAGGCAAAGAAGCAGCCCGGGACTTACTGAACACTCTCTTCAGGTCATGGTACTCACGGGGCACGTTTGACAGATCCATCTGCTCCTCCTGAAACACAGAACGAGAAACAGCAGAACAAGCAGACACTAGACAAGATTTATGACAGCTCTCACTCCAAGAAAGCACAGTATTATGTCCCCAATTAATGTGAGGTTTGTGCAAAACCAACCAGGGATGTCCCAAGATCACAGGAGTGGCAATAGTCTCTGTTAAAAAAAACTCAATAGTTTCGGAATGGTTACCAGAAGTAATGAGTCTTATAGGAGCAGTGGAGTGTGTGATGGTGGGGAGAGAAAGACCGCTAAGAGCGTGCACTGCGATAGGAAGAGAAAGGGGAACAACAGGGATTTTCAAACTGTACGCCAGCTTAGAGTCAATAAAATTCCCCTCGGCTCCGGAGTCGATGAGCGCATGACAGTGGTGCATGATAGAGTTAAAAGATAGATTGACTGGCAGCATGGTTGTGTTAGGGGACTTGTCAAGGGTGATTTCACCAGCCAGTAAACTCTTACCCGGCGACGAATTCTTATTCTTGGCTAGACACGAAGCCACAAAATGTCCAGCGACTCCACAGTACATGCATAGTCCTTCCATGCGGCGACGACGCCTCTCCTCCGTGGAAAGCCGAAATCTGCCCATCTGCATGGGTTCCGGCTCGAGATCAGATGAGGGGGGTTCAGAAGATGCAGCGAAAAAAGATTGCGTGGGAAGAGGTGGAGTGTGCAGTTTCTTGTGGGAACCTCTCTGTTGTAACCGAGTGTCCACTCTGATGGCTAAATCAATAAGCCCATCCAGTGTCTTAGGCAGATCCATGACGTAGATTTCATCTTTAATATAATCTGCTAGTCCGTGCAAAAACATGTCCCACTGAGCTTCGGCATTCCATTTACATTCGGCCGCCAGAGTACGAAAGTCAATGGAATATTCAGCAACACTCAACTTATTCTGTCTGAGTTCAGCGAGCTTACGAGCCGCCTCTCTGCCAGAGACCGCTCGGTCAAACACAGTTTTTAACTCCTCTGAGAAAGCTTTAAAGGAGTTACAGCAGGGGAGTTTACGCTCCCAAACAGTGGTACCCCAAAGTGCCGCTTTACCTGTCAGCAAATTGATCGTAAACGCCACCTTACTCTCTTCGTTAGGGAAAGACGAAGGCTGTAGCGTGATGTAAAGTGAACACTTTGCTATAAATGACCGGCACAATTCTGGTTCGCCGGCGTAACATGCTGGTGGTGGAAGTCGCGGTTCAGTGGATCTGGGGGTCTCTTCTAGCGCATGAGCTGCTGGTGGAATGGTGGGAGGAGCTTGCTGGACAGCTTCAGCACGAAGCTCAGAACCCAGTCTCTGAACCTGAGTCGTGAGCTCAGAAACTTGAGTGACCAGCGCCTCAATGGCCTGGCCGGTCACTGCCATTTGTTTGTCCTGATGATCCAGTCGGGCTGAATTGTGGGCGAGGAAATCCTGGATTTTGGTGACACTTGCTGGGTCCATCTCAGTGGTCAGTTCGTTCTGTCACGGAATACAGGGAGACCCAATTGCAAGTAAAATAATTATTTATTGACTCAGACAGAATGACAGAAGGAAGAACGCAGGAAGATGATGAGTGAGTCAAGCGAGCAGCAGGAAATATAAATCGAACAGGGAGCACTGAAGAACAAGATCAGAGAGCCGCCAACAGAAAGGTACAAGAGTCCAAACACAGAGCTCTCCCCGCGACACACGACCAGAACTCAGCGACCGGAACCTGACAGGACACAGACAAACAGACGTGAAGAAAACGAACTGACACTGTGAGACAGAAACGCTGAACATATATAGGCGCGGTAATGCGCTGCACCTGTGGTCCACTGATTACAGCTGAGCGGTGCTGCGCACGGCAAGGCTGGTGACAGCGTACACGTGACCACCCAGCTGATAAGGTAAACACAACTGACAGCAACGCGACTCTAACACAGACACAGAGACACCCAACACACACACTCATACACGCATATACGTAAACGCATAACGCACCACACCGTACACACACACACATACACACACGCAGACACATCATAGAAGAACAGACAGATCCACAATCGTGACATTTTAGCTATTTCTGTGTAGAATTTAGTTTAAAAAAAATCTGCTGATTTTTGCTGAATTATTTTGGGAGTATCGTAACTAAAAACTTAATAAATGAAATAAAAAGTAATACCTTTTTAACTTGTATTTAGAGCTTACAATGCAAGTCCATCTAGATCAGGGGTGGGCAAACTTGATCCTGGAGGGCCGGTGTCCTGCACAGTTTGGCTCCAACTCTAATCAAACACACCTGCTTATAGATTTCTAGTGATCTTGAAGACACTGATCAGCATGTTCAGGTGAGTTTGATTAGTGTTGGAGCTAAACTGTGCAGGACATCGGCCCTCCAGGACCGAGTTTGCCCACCCCTGATCTAGATCCACTTATTAGGTAAACAAAGCAAGTCTCCCATATAATATATGCTAAAAGACAGAAAATATTACTTTACAAACTGTTTTATAAATAAATCAAAGGAACACTTTTATATTAATTAGTAATATTCCTGAAATCAAATGGAAAAACTGAATAACTATAAATTTTCACACATTTACAAAAGTAAATAAATAAATAGACTCAATGATGGGCCAAAAATCTGCGGTAGGCCTAGAGGCATAACGTCTCTGTTTGTGTCACCTACAAAATGTTCATTATATCAGTATCTCTATATTAATTTGGCTAAATTAATGCTATATTATTACAGTTATTAATATAAATGACAAAACATAAACAAACACAAAATTGTTAGCAAGATTTTCAAAATGAACCCTCTGAGTATGCAAGCCTATTTTATTCCATTATGTCTGTTTTGCCTGAAGATATGTTCATGTTTTTAAGACATTTAGAGTATGATGACTGGTGTTTAATTTTCTGAAGATGGCCTACTCTTAGCGATAAAGCTGTTAGCGATAGGCCTAGTGTTAGCAATCTTTGATACACAGACTGAAAGATTCTGGCCTTGATTTATTTCCTGATATGTTATGATGATATAATACTTAAATACAGATTTCAATAATAACATTCAACAATAAATCAATAGAGATCAATGGGTTCCAGCTTGTGTCTCAAATTCCCAGAATGCTTTGCGCTTTGACAACAGGATCCAATGTGCACACCGACCTATAATTTCAGTCAGCCCCAGTGCTTCCGGTTAGTTGTCATCACCTACAAAATCGCTGCGTTTAAGAACTGTTTTTGTTAAAAAACAGTGAACTCACTGCCTGGCTGAGATACAATACAAGGTGGGTATCAGACGAAGCACATTAAATAATATTTTTCCACGCCATGTCTTTAAAATATGACATTTAATTTTACCCCGGTATTTTCATTGGAATTTCTGCACTAGCCTGCAGCTAATGATGGCGCCTGTGTTTAAACGGTCTTTCGTCTCTTTTTTACGCTTTAACAACCAAGTGGAAGTCTATTTAACTTATTATATCTGAATTACATTGCAACATCGATGCTGTAAAAGGCCTTATGAACCTTATGAAATTGAAAATAGTCACAAAAAGCTTTTACCGAATGTTGTATATCATGTATAGGCCTGATTTTGCAATAAAGTAAGCGCACACACTACAAATAAAAAAGAAAATCATAGCTATATGGGAATGTTTTCTTGTGGCGGCTCATTGATATTATATGGAATAGACAATACATTTTTAGTTTATCTGACACACCAAAAATAAAGACATAGGCCTATATTAATCCTTCTTGTTTGGATTGTTTGTAAGATGATTTTTTAAAAGTGTTATTATAAAACCGTCAGCTTTTTTTGTAATGTTCATTGGTTCCCTGCGGAAAAACAAAAGTGCTTAAACCAGCCTAGACTGGTTGGCTGGTTTTAGCTGGTTGACCAGCCTGGTTTTAAAAGGGTTTTGGCCATTTCCTGGAAATGACCAGCTAAAACCTGACCAGCCTTGTTTAACCTGGACATAGCTGGTTTTAGCCTGGCTGGGCTGGTCAAGCTGGTTTTAGCTGGTCCTCTCTCAGCATGAAGTCCCTTTCTCTAAATTGATTTGGACTAATATAAATAAATGTAGAGTAAATGATACAATTATTTTATTTTATTATTTTGCAAGTGAGCATACAGAGAATACTAATAAAATATACTGATTCTATTTATCATTTTGTTTTTGTACATTCATATTTATATGTTTCGTGCTATTTGTGTAGATGTGTGAATTTTCATGATCTTGAAAACACAACTTGTCTGAACAAAATGAAGTCGTGATCATCAGATATGCCTCTTTGGGCTTCCGTATCACTTCGAAGAGAACGGTGTTTAGAATGAAGGCTGCAGTGGCCAATCGTAGACCTCACCGTAGATGTTTCCTGTTTTCATTGGACTACAGTAGTGATTGACAGTGCTTTCCGCCTGTAATATTCGCGGTTCTTGCCTGAAGGGCGTCAGCCACGTCTGTCCCATTTTCTGTAGTTTTCGTCCATTTCATTTTGATACGCGTGAATCGTAACGGGACAACATGGCGACACAAACGGCTCGCTTTTACAGTGAAGGCGGCAGAGCGACAAAACGCCAGAAAACGGAAAACGAAGGGGGAATGGCGACCGTAAGACTAATATCTGCTTATATACTAAACGATATTTATGATGGACTTTATCTGGCGTAGTCTTAGTAAGCTAGCTAGATAGCTAAAATAGCACTAACGTTAGTTAGCCAAGCAGCTAACTAAACAATTGTGCCAAACAATATGTTTTTTTTGCGTCAAAAGCATGATAAAAAATGCTAAAAGTCCACATATGAAAACGTAAACTTATTTTGTAAGAAACACTTGAAATGTTCTGGAATACATACGTAATTGCTACGCACGCACATTGTGATAGGCTTCTGAATGAATGGATTGTGTTGCACGCGACCGCCATTACGATAGATTTAAAAAATACGGTACTTCACAACAATACTTCAAAAAAAGTACCCAAGTGTGAAAATACTATGTATTTGTACAACATTAACAATTAATGCACATGGATTTTAGAAAATGGAGGCAAATACACGCTGAAAACGCAAAACAATGCATGTTAACGTTACAAACACACAACGTGCGATGTTAGGGTTATGTCACGTTATACTTTTTGTGTGAATGTTTAGTTATACAAGTTCACTGAACTAACCTCATTTTTTTATCTTTTATAGGAAGGATATACTGACCCACATAAGACTCTTCCTTCTCTTGTGGTCCATGTCCGAGGTTTAGTGGATGGAGTTTTGGAGTCAGACATTGTTGAAGCCCTCCAAGAGTTTGGAACCATCAGGTAACCTGCATAGTATTTTTTCCGCTTTTTACAAGGGTATCACTGTGCCATAATTCTGCCCTTTTGAGAAATGCATTATGGCTCATTCGTTTCAATCTCTTTGCAGTTATGTGGTACTCATGCCTAAGAAGCGCCAGGCCCTGGTTGAATATGAGGATATGAATGGGTCTTGCAACGCTGTTACTTACGCCAACGACAACCAGATCTACATTGCTGGACATCCTGCATTTGTGAACTACTCTACCAGTCAGAAGATTTCCAGACCGGGGGATCCTGATGATGCCCGCAGTGTCAATAATGTTTTGCTTTTGACTATCATGAACCCCATTTATCCGATTACCTCGGTAATGCCTATAACCATTGCGTAATAATAAAGCTTTTAATTGTATAACTTCCCCCCTCCGCACACGCACTAACCTTCTTCTTTTTTGCTCTATAGGATGTTCTCTATACGATTTGCAACAACTGTGGTCCTGTTCAAAGAATCGTCATCTTTAGGAAGAACGGAGTCCAGGCCATGGTGGAATATCCTTTACTGTTTCCCACTGCACATTGAAGCCTTTTGATAGATTCCGTCTGCTCAAAGACAGAAGTGAATTATGTTTCAGTTTGTTCTTTGAGTTCACCTTGGATGCTAGAAGCTATGAATGTTTACAGTTGTTGTTTTTGAAGTTTTCTTCAGGGTTTCTGCAGGGTCTGAAAAGTCTTAAAAATGGCTTACGTCTTAAAATCCAAATTTGAGGCCTTAGAAAGTTTTAAATTTACTGAAATATTTTGTTTTAGGTTCTAAATCTTTTTTTTAAACGAATCTTAATTTTTCTTTCTTCATGTATTGCTACTCAATCTGGCCAAAACCCATTCAATCACCAACAATAAATCTCAATAAAACTTTAAGCTTTTATTTTAAACAGTAATTTTTAACTCTATTTATCATAATGGCTCAATTATTTTCCTTTTAATAATTTTTATTTTAAAAATCTAAATGTGTTTACTGCTGAGGACACCAACCTGGACTGATTGTTGTGTATAGATTTATTTTATTATTGTTTTATTATAGTTTATTTCTTCTTTTTTATTAAAAAAAGTTTATATTGGGAAAAAAAACTGTATGGATACAGGTAGAGCTGTGTATACACAATATTTAAAATATTTTGCTTAGACAAAAATCCAAAATATTAAAATTTAAAAATTATCGTATTATCAAATGTATTAAAGTATACATTTTTCTGTTTGGGCAAAACAATCTTTTCCATCTGGACCATTTGAAAAATTCCTTAGCTTTCAGCCCTTTATGAGTCTAAAATTTCATTCATAAGGGTCTTAAAAATATATTGGTCTTTAAATTAACTCTGTGAAACCTGCAGAAACCCTGTTTCTTAAAAACCAAATAGTTTTGATTGCAAGTAGTTGCTGTGCTGAAGATTACCTTTGTATTCCTTAATTCCTCGCACATTTGATTCTGTTCAGAGCGCCCAAAGAGCCAAAGCCTCTCTCAATGGGGCTGATATATATTCCGGTTGTTGCACTCTAAAGATAGAGTATGCCAAGGTAAGGTTCATGTGGATTCACTGAGTGATCTTTTAAAACAATTCTATTATCATTTTTACAGATGTCAATAGTGTGACTTATCAAAAATGTGCTTAAAAAAAATATAGATTAAAATCTTAAATGCACAAACACATTTTACAACTCCCCTGAAGTTAAACAGTTGGGTTTTTATACTATACAGGACCTGAAAACAGTCCCCAGCTTGATAACTAGGTAACAATGCTGTTTAATACTATTCTTGGTTCGGTAGCAAAGTTCCTGGATTATTATGCCAGAACAAAAGTACAGTTCATAGACATATGAACCTAGAAAATTTCAATTTTTCATCTTCAGTCAGTCTTGGTATGCAATCTAACTCTTATCTAACTAAGAGTTAAGCTTTAAAAATGAAAATAAACAAAATTGATCTGATGCTAATGGTCAAATCTGATTGAATGATTTATGCTATGCTAACCTGGAGATCAGCTGAATAGTTTTTAAAAATGGAAAAATTCACATTTTAATCTCTAGGGGACTTTTTAAAAAAAAGTGTACTGTTTAAAAAAAAATTATTATGATTGGAGAGTATGTTGACAGCAAGTGGGAAAGAGGGGGATTTTGTTGGGATAGGTTCATGAAAAGGGACCTAAACTTGGGTTGCCTGAAGCGCAGTTGCATTATCTGTTATCTGACCCTGCAAGCATTTTTTTTTTGTCACCCTGCACAGCTTTATCAGTAATTTTCACAAACAAATCACCGTGTCTCAAATATTTGATTGTGTGAATAGCAAATCTAGGGCTGTCAATTCAATGTGTTGAATCAGTTGTTAAAAATGAACACCCTAACAGTTTATTAAGTTAGCATAGTTAACAGTTTAACAAGTACTAAAGTGTCATGTTCTTGCCACAATTTTGTCGGTGTTTGACAATTTGGCCAAAAAAAAATCTACCTGTAAACCAGCATGAGCTATGTTTTGTAATATGTATTTTATGCTCAGCAAAGTCTAATGTGAGATTACATTACTTTTGGTCAAGTGAAAAAGATAGTTTGAGAGTTTTAATTTAAGCTGTGTATTTAAAAAAAAAACCTCTGGATTTAAAATGTTTTATTTTAGCTTTGTGCATTTTTTTAATCAATTTGAAAATGGGTAAATATATAGTTAAGAAAACACATTTCGTAATTTTTCCTAGAAGTAGATACATTTGGACAGTAAGTGTCATATTCAGAAGTGTGATGGCTGTAATTATGGCTTGCCAGAATCTTCTCTCAGTGATTCAATGAATCATTACTTTGTGTAATAAATGAAAGTGTCTGCTGGGGAAAGATTTCAAATAATTTGGCAACAAACAAATAATATCTGCTGGTTATGTCAGTAATTAAAAATCTAAATAAAACTGTTTGTTTTGTGATTTAAGCCAACACGCCTTAATGTGTTCAAGAATGACCAGGACACATGGGACTACACCAATCCGAGCCTGGGCACTCAAGGTACTGTTAACCTTACTTCTGCTTTAGCATTTGTCAGCGCCCTTACTGCCACTGTGACGGAAATAAGCGGGTGGGCTTGGGGAATCCTAGAACCGCATTAATAAATCCGCTGTTTCACCTCCCCTGTGCTGAGTGTTAGGCATACCAGCATCTACACAACATGTTGTGCTTGTTCTCGTGACTCTTAAGGGGAGGTCAAATCGTAACACTCTGATCAAACTAAGGCTTCCTCAATGTTATCCTGCTGATATCTTACAGACTTCTTTTTCCAGCAAAGCCTGTCACATGAAGTGTGAGGGGCAAGTGGCTTTTTGGGAAAGCACCATAAACGTGGCCTTATCCATGGACAACCCTGATATCTTTTGATATCAAGAGACTTGATTTAGTCTTTCTGGGTTTATTGGAGCAGAAGGTCTTTAAACAATTAGAGTCGTAAGGTGTGGTGTATTGTTCTATGGAATAACATGAATTGTTTGCCAGAAGTATCCAATTAAAAGTACAGTTCTGATTTCATGTTGACTTCAGGACAACACTACGTGATTTAGGTTGAAAGTATTATTGGTGTGCCCAAAGAATTGCATTCACAAACAAATTGCAGTTTGCCGAACAAAAGACCTTTTGACTGAACAGTCCATTGGTGCTTACTTTGGCCATTTGCTCCTCGCATTCACACAGTACATTTAAGACTCGTACGCACCGGGACGCTTTTCGTTTGCATTTATCATCAAGGTTTTACAAGACGTTTTTCCAGATTCAAACCCAATCGATTTTCTCTGGCGTCGAGCTGAAGAACATGCAAAATCACTTGACGTTAGACGGTGCTACACAACTTTAAGCTTCTGCTTGTAGCACAGAAGAAGTCAAAGTTGACACTTGTTATGGATGGTTCAAGTAGCAGCACTAGCGATGAAGAAATAATTATTGTTCAACAGTGCAATAAGCAGCTCCACGTTCATATCGCCTCTCGGCATCTTCTTCAATGTGCGCTCGCATTGACTGTTTTGAGCTTGTGAGCCTCCAAGAGCTGTTTACTGCAACTTCAGCAGCTCCGTGCACGTGAACAAAAAGTTCTGATTGGTAGAGAAGGTTTTGACGCGGCGTGCCAACAAAACGAACATAAGCCTTTTTTTTTAAATGTCGCTTTTACGCATGGCATTGTGCGCGTTGGTGTGCATGATTACATTAGCACCTTTTATTTAGTCACGAGGTGTTAAACTCCGACAAAAAAAACGCGAGCAAAAAGCGTCCCAGTGTGTACAGGCTTTTAGAGCTCAATATGAAATCACTGACCCTTCCAGAATATCAAGTACAACAACAGAACACTCAGTACACCTGGACACTGGGGGATGTTTCCTAGTTTTCACTGAAGACACAGGTTCCTCAAACTCTCAACACTGCATACTCAACAAACTTCTTCTTGTACCTGCGAGAGTACTTCTCCAGATGGACAGACACTCAATTCACTCTTGTGAAACCGCAAGACATCACGACAAACACCTGATCATGCAACATTTAGTACTCCTACTCACCTCCTACTGCAATGACACTACCATCGAAGACATTGTTCCTGTTGTATGGCATTACACATTGAAGGATTTGTGGGTGCAAGTAGTTATGGCCCACACACCCATTCATCTGTCATCCCGTTGTTTCTTACGGGTCAAGAACAAGACACACTCCACTGTGACACCTCACTGCTAACAAGGGGTGTTTTTGACACGCATCCTCAAGTGACACCACAACACAAAGCAAACAGACCTCCTTGCCTCATTCATGTCACACTGCTGGCGTCAGACAGCGTCAAACAGCCTTCTACAAACCTGCCGGTCTTTCTCTGGGCTATGTCGTCTTTCTTTCACCGTGCCTATCCATGCAACACAAACATGCCTGACTCTTCACTCGTCAACAGCTGACGACACTAAACCACCCGAGACACCGAAGACACCGCAGACAACATCGAGCAGACGCACTGACATGCAGACAGCCCAACACGTCAAGTGTTTTCACTCAGTTACGCAGTCAAATTCTGCCCTGGAGGCTGGTGTTTCAGATGCGCTCTCTTTCCCCAACTTGTGTCCTACTCTTTACTATTCCTGCTCTCTGTCTGTCAATATGTGAAGTTTTCCCTTTTTTTCCCCCCTCCTAGTCATATGACTACTGTGTAACACCTTCCGTATGATGCAGGTTGGCTTTGTGTCTCTAGTGGAAGTGCCAGTCAGTCTGAATTGGGCTTAAAATGCTCCAGCTTTTCAACCTCCATGGGAAGACAGGCATTGAAATGAAAATAAGGACTGTACGCTGGCGTCAGTGGAGCTTTGAAACCTATCAGAATCTGGAAGAGTGCTTGTGAATCAGTGGGATGGACAGAAATGGAAAGTTCTTAAGTGCGGTACGGAGGACAAAGTGTCATGAAGACATCGCTCAACGGTGGCTAATTTACAGCATGTTCTACTTGCCCCGTCCTTCAACCCCCAACCCTTGCGTTTGTACTGTAAGTAACCCCAAGCTTCTGTTGTCTTGGAGTGATATAATCATAGTCTAATATTTCAGTGGGGTGTTTGAAACAAATGTTTGACTAACTTGACTTTTTTTTTTCTTAAGTGGAGTGTTTTTGTTATTGCCTAAAATAAAGTAGGAAAGTGCATTTAAATTGTTTATTTAGGGAGGTGAGAGTTTGTCGTCAGCGCTAATTATTTATTTGATTGGTTGGTTTGACAACACTGGCACAGCCAATAAAGAAATGGACACAATAAATGTCATAGTCATAGAGAGGAGTCATGCAGACACTGGACAACTGCATTTTTGAGTGCCTGTTTTTGCAAATGTTAAATTTTTTTTTTTAAAGTCCATGTTTGTATTGGTGCATTCAACATTTGTTCCAAAACTAGAGTATGCTTCTGATTGAGGGACAAGATACTGACTTTACTAATCAAATTGAGTTTTAAAATGGCTAAATAGCCTGCCTACCCTGATTCAATACAAACTAGATTGCACAAACCTAAATTGCAATTCTAATCTTTGCATGGTTTCTAAATTATCTTCAGTTTTGTTTGGCATATTCTCACCTTTTCAGTTAAATCTAGACTTGCTTTTATCATAATATAAAGTTTCTGAATTACTTTAAGGGTAAAACTTTTTAATCGAAACTAAAAGCAAGATTTGAAATGAAAGAACATGAGGTGTCATTTGTTTCTGGACAGGTCTTGTAATTTTATATATATATTTCTTTTTAAGTCATACTGAATACTGGTCCATTTTATAACTGCTCAGGGAACGATCACTCGCACCATTCTGATTATAAAATGGGTATAGCTTGTGCATGGGGAGGGGACTTGTGCATATTTAACTTGTGGCTTTTTTGACAAGCCACATTATGTAAGTTATGATGCCCTCAGCGTTTCAGTTTTTGGATAAGAAACATTTAGTTGTATAGAAATGTCCATGATCTTTTCACTGTGTGGACGTGAACAGGTGCAGATGCTGATGGTAACGGGGGCATGCAATGATACTGGTTGTTATAAGCTTGATGGTGCAATTAAAAGCCTTTGTTTATTAACCAGTTGACTGTTTAGGTTTGGCGAGTAGTAATAAATGAGTCAAAATTAATAAGTTGATCTCAACTAGCCTGTCAAAATGTACTATTATTATTCCTGAAATAAGACTGTCATCCTTAAAAGAAGTTAACTCTTTTGGAAATGGTATTTGCTTATATTTTAGGCATTTTGCGGCATTTAAAACCTATCTGAAGTACAGTGTTGATTTCTGCAATACAAATAATTCAGTGATGCTAAAATATATCAAATGTTTTTATTGAATGATGTTTTTGTTGACTCAAAGTAACTTGTTTTAAACTGATTGTGCTATAGTAGAAATCTTAATCTTTGACTGTAAAAAAAAATTAGGAAAATGCTTGATGTCTCTTATTATTAATATTAATATCACCTCTTTATTTCTGATATTCTGTGTGTCCCCTTTTTGCTGATCTTTAAACAAAGTCAGTGTCCTGGCCTGTCATCTCTTAGCAAACTCATCTATCACCTTCTCTGCCCCCCCTCTCTCTCTTTTACCCCGTCCCCCTTTCTTTTCTTGACCTTCTTTCTTTCTTCACCTCTTAGATATGAACGCCAACCCCAACAAGCGCCAGAGGCAGCCGGCTCTGCTGGGAGACCACCCTCCAGAGTATGGTAAGGCTTGCGGGGGCACACGCGCTAACACATTTGCCTCATTTGCTCGCAAATCAGGGGAGTGAATGTTAAAGCGACAACAAGTTGGGGTGTACTTATCACAGTGGCAGCAAGATGGTGCTGTGTTGATGTTAAAACTTAACGTGTAGTGTAAAATGTGTTTGCCCACCTGCAGCAACTCACCCCATGTGTTCTGTTTTTTCGTTTGTGAAATTCAGGTGGTTATCCCGGGTACCCAGATGAGAGCTATGGCTATGAGGGTCGACGAATGGGACCTCCTATGAGTGCTCCAAGGCGAGGTGGAGCCAGCCAGCGCTACAGCGCACAGTATGGTGGTCCTCCACCACCACCTCCGGGGGAGTATGGCGCACATGCAGACTCACCTGTGATCATGGTGTACGGTCTGGATCCCGTAAAAATAAACGCTGACAGGGTCTTCAACATCTTCTGCCTTTATGGCAATGTGGAACGGGTATGTAATACTTTTTTTGTTTCCAGCAATTCTGTCGGACCATTATTGCAGGATGTTCTGCTTTATGGGATTTGAGATTAGCTCAGAAATTGATAATGATCATTAACCATTTTCTTTTAGGATACATGTTGACTAAGGGTGTCACGATTTCAATTTTAAATTGAAATCGATCGAAATTTATGCTCAATTTCGATTATCGAATCAAAAAATAGAATTGTCGATGCTGCCACGCCCCCATGTCACGTCAGCTTGGCTTGCCAAGCGGTAAAAAAACAGGCTTGTTGAAGTGCTTGTTAAACTGCAGAAGCAGGAGACCCGTCGACAGAGCTTAAACCCTCTCCTCTTTCAATGAAGTCGCCGGTGTGTAAGCATTTTGGATTTCCAGTGAGTTATGTTGACAGCGTTCGTGTTGTCGACAAAAAAAAAACGCTGTTTTGCAAGCTCTGCTATGTACGTATTAGGGTTCGTCCGATAGATAACACCGTCATAGCGATCCTCCGCCCCGCACCCGTTGCAAATCCGCTCGCGAAAAGTACACACTCAGGCCGTGTCTACACGGTCTTTGTTTTTACATGGCATTTTAGAACGACAACGATTTGACATCCACAGTGGCGTGTAGCATTTCTGAGCAGCCCTCCTTCCTCACTACCTCTGAAAACGCACATCACGTGACCACATACACACACACAGACACAGACGCACACACAGCCATGCGCTCCAGACAGCAGGTCCAGGCAGTCAGGATCAATAGACTGCTTCAATCTTTCACTCACTTGTACTTAGTCATTTTAGCGAACACCTCAGATACTTTTGGCTGGTTCCTGTTGGTTGTGCACCTTTTTTACCGACGCCATTATAACGACATAGATCATTGCCTATTCACGAGTCCCGCAGAAAAAGTGATTGACTGGTGGTAATTATGTGTGTATCTTGCCTTTATTCATTTACTGTATGATTTGTTTATGGGTAAAACAAAGACCATGCAGGTCAGGTAGTTTAAACGGTAGGCTACAAATAATTAATTCGTTATTAATTAATTAATTATTCAATCGAAAAGTGAATCGAATCATGACTTTAGAATCGAAAATGTAATCGAATCAAGGATTTGGAGGATCGTGACACCCTTAATGTTGATGTGCAGTGTTCTTTCAAGAATATCTATTCTGAGTCAGATACTGTCAAAGCAAACTTTGCTGGAAAGTCTTTTTCTTCTTTAAATGTAGGTGAAGTTCATGAAGAGCAAGCCTGGAGCTGCCATGGTGGAGATGGGAGACTGCTATGCAGTGGATCGTGCCATCTCGCATCTCAACAACAATTTTCTGTTCAATCAGAAACTTAATTTATGGTATGTTCTGCCTGCGTTTATTTTTATTATTTTGTTTAAGCAATGCTCAGAACTTTACATTTTGGTTTAGTGTTCACTTAAGCTGGTCCTGCAGCATGCTCTCTGATTTTGTCTAAAACCCTCTACATCCACTAGCACCATGTCTACATTTGCTGTGAGATTCATATATTTATAGGCAGCAGCATATCTTACACTGTCCTAACTACAGGTGGCGCTGTGACATGCGATTTTAAAGGTATCTCATTTATGTTAAAAGGAGTTTTTGACTTCGACACTTGTGAAAGCAACGGACATGACATGTCTATTGCAGAAACTGATGTCACGACATAACAGGTGCAGTTTATGTACTTTATTCAGTGTTATGTTACCAGTGTGAGTTTGAACAGCATTTTACATGGCATTGCCATACTGAAAGCAGCAGCAGATAGATCACCTCAGATCTTGAAAATCAGACAGCTAGCAGACTGTTTGAAAATGAAAGGCAGAAGTGTAAACCAACAACATCAGCAACTCATTTGAAGTACTTTTATGATGTATTAGTTAGATTCTAATCTTTAACATTTTGTGAATGGCTAGTATTTACATTTTTCTGTCATGTCGCATCACGTTTGGTGAAGACAGCCAAATTGCTTGTCTCTGGATAAATAGGGTATATGCCAAAGCATGCTAATAGGACTTTTAATTTGCCAGTAACCTGGGTTAATCGTTTCCGGCGAATTGTATGTCAATGCAAAATCAGCGCGTCTAAGGTCTGTTTTCTTTAAAAATCATCTATCTCCACTGGCTGAGTGATATCTGATATAAAGTGGGTCTCAGGTTGTACAAGAAGCACTGCATTAAATTACAATTCCCCCGCCATGTCTTTATAATATGAGCATTTATTTTACCTCAGTATATTCAATGGAGCTTCTGCGCTAGCCTGCTGATTCTGATGGGACCTTTTGTCTTGTTTTACGCTTGAGCAACTAAATGAATGCCAAAGTGTGTTTAACTGATTGTATTTGAATTACATCACAACATCCATGCTGTAAAAGGAACCGTATAAAATGGAAAACAATGTAAGACAATAATAGGTCACCGAAAGTGTATCAGTATGGCAAACACGTTAGCTTGGCATATACTCCATTTGACCAGTATTTAAAAGAGAACATGATACAAATAGAAATTAAAATGGATAAACTGCTTAAAACTTAACAAAAACAAAAAAATTGGCAGTAAAAAAAAATGAAAAAAAATATAAATAAATTTTGATCTTCACTACAAAGCCCACAATTATAGAATTGGCCAAAAAAAGTTTGAGAACCACTTGAGATTTTGTTTCATCCAAATTTAAGTAATTTTCGCAGGAGCACTCAGTGAAAAGTTTTCACAGGAAGAAAAATAGCCATTCTTGGCAAATTCTTGTACATTTTACAATATTGTTGATTAACGTGCATCGCCCCTGTAACAAATAAACTAAACGAGTACTAAAGCTCTACATCTGCTGTGGGAATAAATATATAGGCATGTTTTGTAGCATGTTTTACACCGAGTCTTAACTACACGTGCTGCAACATGCGATTTTTAAAAGTTATCTTTCATGTTAAAAGGGGTTTTGACCTAAGCATCTGCAGCAGCAATGCACAAAATGATGAAAAATAATTTTGGCACATTTTACAGTAATGTTGAATAATGTGCATTGCCCATTTAAATAACTAAACCAAACAGGTAATACTATAAAATTAACATACTTGTTACATGATGGGCAATGAATGGATTTGGGGAATATTTTACAGCACAGATCCAGCAATATAAACCTTTTAACCTTTTTTTTGTTTCTTTTTTGTTTGTTTCAGTGTATCTAAACAGCAAGCCATAATGCCCGGTCAGTCATATGAGCTTGACGATGGCACCAACAGCTTCAAAGATTATCATGGCAGCAGAAATAACCGCTTCGCTACTCCTGAGCAGGCTGCTAAGAACCGCATTCAGCACCCCAGCAATGTCCTCCATTTTTTCAACGCAGTCCCTGAAGCTACACCAGAAATGTTCACCAGGGTCAGTTCACGTCAGAGAAATGACTAATTGGTCAAATGATGTTATTTGAAGTGTGCGTTCACAACTTTTGTCCTTTTTCAGCTCTGTGAAGAACATGGTGTGAAGAACCCCTCCAATATCAAAATTTTTGTAGCCAAAGGTATGTGATTTTAAGATATCTACAGTGGGGGGAATAAGTATTGAACATGTCACCTATTTTCTCAGAAAACATATTTCTAAAGGTTCTGTTAAATTTTAATTTTGGTATGTTGGTAGCAACCAAAGAAATCCATATATGCAAAGAAAACAAAAGTAGTTATTTAACAATTTGAGGTTATGTGGAATAAAATAAAATGACACGGGGGGAAAAAGTATTGAACACATGAAGAAAGGGAAGTTTAGAAATGCCGTGGAAGCCCAGACAGCAGCTGAAATCTCTTAGTAATTGTTTAGCAACCCTCTGCACTTTATCATTGCAAAATGTTCAGCGCATGCACATATTTAAGAAGACATTCACTCAATGCATATTTGCACCTAAAAATGCGAAACGCAGCAATCAGAAATAGTTTAAAACAGTCAGCAAATCAACTTGCTGCAGTAAACAAAGCCTGCAATGCCTGCTCCGTCTTAAAGCTCTTCTGAGTGGCTCACTTGCTTTCCTTGAAATGACAGGGAGCTACAGCCACAAAAATGTAAAGGTCGAGAGAGAAAAAAAATAACACTGACAGATTTTATTTTAGAAACCACGTAAAGTTACAAATAACGGCCTATTTTACCCTTTTTCGGTGAACTATTTCAATAAATCTAAGTTCCAAAGTATTTAACCATTTAAATTGAGATGTCATATTGTTTTGTTTTTTTAAATAAGCACAATGGATTTAAATGTGAAAAAGTACGTACAGCATATATAAATGTAATTTACCGTGGTTGTTAGGTGCTGGAAAAGCATAAAAATGCATGTTGAAAGTGCTTAAAAAGTGCTGGAATTTGAAGGTGGAAAAGGTGTAAGAACCCTGAAAGTATTAAATAAAGATCAGAACTTTAAAACGAGACACACAGAATCGTCACAATTTTTACACTGTTGAAGTTTGTGGGAAAAAAATCACAAAAATCTTTCTGTGCTTCTATTAATCCTGCTCTACTTTACTGAACAGGCAACTCACCAGACAGGAGCTCGTCAGGGCTTCTGGAGTGGGAGTCTGTTAATGACGCCATGGAGGCCCTTGCTATGATCAATCATAACCAGATGAAGAACCCTAGTAAGTGACTTGTTTTATTTGCATACATTAGTTATTGTTTAAAGTGGATCAAAAATGGTTTTCAAAATTGTTCTGTACACACCAAGCCATTGCTCCGGCTAGTTGGTTTTTGATGTGTAAAGGTATGAATTGGTTATAATGGTGTTTTTTTTTTTTTTTTTTTTTTTAAACAGGGTTTGTGAGGGAATTGCAGAAGGTTGATAGTTTATGAAAGCTAATTATATTGAAAGTAAGATTAAGATAAACACGTATATAGCAGCACATTAAATTTAAATAAATCTGAAACTGCAGTATTGCTCAAAGACTCCAGTATAATCAGAATGATGAACATCTAGCGAGTCAAAACCCGACTGAGCTGTTGCTGCGCATCTGCACCAAAAAGCTCCCTCTAAAGACACACCAAACGAACAAAAGCTAACAGAAACGGCATGTCTTTCCAATATCTGTTTTCTTGTTCACAACGTGAAACTGGAACTTCCAATCTGCTTGCTTAAAACTTCTTACCATAGAGGGATTGGCTTCTCCAAATATCTCTGATAATCTAATAATCCGTATTTGTTTGCAAATATTTAGGAATGTTGCAAATTTACAGTCGGCCTCTTTTTGTTTCACCTTGTCTGCGTCCGAAACCGCCTATTACTCAGTAGGTACTGCATTTGAATTTAAAGTACTACTCGGCCGTTAGAAAAGTATGTTCTATACAGTATGAATGTGAAAAGTATGAATGGAATTCGGACGTACTACATCCGCCATATTGTCATGGTCACGTGACCTACCTGCGTCAGTTGCGTCGCTTTACTTCCATTCATGAATTCTCTCGCGGGGCATCATGGGATAGCGTAGCATGCATGGGATGCGCACTCCGGAATCTCGCCGGAAGTAGTAAGTCATCTGGGTACTTCTCGCATACTGATTTTCGAAATTTATGAATTCTGACGTACTACTTGGCTCGCATACTGATTTTGCCGTACTATATAGTATGGAAGTATGCGGTTTCGGATGCAGCGTTTGACTTGATTTGTTTATTTGCTACTGTCACACTCGCGCTCTGATTCGTTGCTGAAAAACCAATCAGAGTGCTCTCTTCAGCTGACCGATTCCACGCGCTTAATCAGACCAAAGACGCATTAAACCAACTAGCCGGACCGATACTATGCAGAAACTGCAATTTAATCGTATGATAAAGAGAATGTGCACAGTATTAGAAACTTTGTTACTTTTAATAGTCCAAAATGGTACTAATGTTGTGGTGTGTGTTTTCTCCACAGATGGTCCATACCCATTTACACTCAAGCTGTGTTTCTCCACTGCACAGCACGCAAACTAAACAACGTCCTGTCCTCTGTTTCCACCATCGCCATGTCATCACTTCACCTCCTGCTTCTTTATTATCTTCATTTGTACGAGTGTGTATGCAGACGTGTTGCGTTTATCTTCTGTTGATCGAGTCGAGGCACAAACTGGGAGAGAAACTGACTGAACTCATTGTTTTTAATCGAAGACGAGAGTTTAAAAACGCTTTTGTACCATTATTTTGGTTTTGTTATCTTTTTTTATTGCTTACCATGATTGACTGTTAGCTCTGTGCTCAGCACCTCTTTTTAGAAACATCCTCCTGTAAAGATTGCGTTCTTTTGTTTGGATTGTACAATAAAATTAGTGATAACGGGTCTTTGTTGTGATTTTGCTTTTGCAAGAGAGCGGATTGTGACTCATGTTTTTAAATGTTTTACATCGGTTCAACCTTTTCTTTTCTATTCTCTAAAGCTGCCTGCGAGTTACTGCCCAGTGTATATTTGCTCTCTGGAAAATAACATGTAACCGGTTTAAATAAAGAAATAATCTGCCTATTCAACAATGGCTGATGCTTTCAGGTCAACTTCATACGGTGATTTAAAAACAGTATCTAATGATTTGTCTTTAGAAATTATCTTTCATTGCAGGTTGGTGTTTTCTGATGGTCCCAAAATCATGCTTGGAGCTGTCTAAAAGCTGAGAAGTCAGTAGAAAATAAGAGCTTTGAACACATAAACGTGTGTAATGCATTTCAGTTCAAACATGTATTGATGTATAAGTTCTAGCGATGAATGATGTACCGTTTATTGCAATTTACATGGGCTTTGTAACATCATGATTTTTAGTTTATAGTGAAAGCCATGTCCCTCAGTAAAATGGCCATTTATACTGAGCAAAATTACAAAGGAATGAGTTCAATTGCTAATGAGAAGTGTGTATTGAGTTTATTGTTGACTAAAACATCATGAAGATGTAAGAACTTGGAGGAAATCACACTTGGGGAAACAAAAACAGATATCTTAGCAGAAGAATTACTTGGTAACACTTTATTTTGATGGTCTATTTGAGCATTAGTAGGCTGTCTGCTTAATATACGTTTATACAGACATTTAACTGAATGAAATTATTTAATTTTCACTTTGACAACACATCGTCCCTGTCAAATTGATCATTAAAATGAAGTTGCCAATTTTAACATTTCATTTTCACTGCATTTCCGCTTCAAGACTGCCAATTTACAGCCATATCACCCTGCAGCCCAAGACCGGTTACTCACTGAAGCTAAGCAGGGCTGAGCCTGGTTAGTACCTGGATGGGAGACCACAAGGGAACACTAGGTTGCTGTTGGAAGTGGTGTTAGTGAGGCCAGCAGGGGGCGCTCAACCTGTGGTCTGTGTGAGTCCTAATGCCCCAGTAAAAGAAAAGAGGACACTACACTGTCAGTGGGCGCCGTCTTTCGGATGAGACGTTAAACCGAGGTCCGGACTCTCTGTGGTCGATTAAAAATCCCATGGCACTTCTTGTGAAAGAGCAGTGGTGTAACCCCGGTGTCCTGGCCAAAGTCCCTCTATCGGCCCTTACGATCATGGTCTCCCAATCATCCCCTTCCACCGAATTGTCTCCATCACTGTCTCTCCACTCCACCAATAGCTGGTGTGTGGTGAGCGCACTGGCGCCGTTGTCCTGTGGCTGCCGTCGCATCATCCAAGTGGATGCAGCACACTGGTGGTGGTGTGGAGAGACCCCCCTCATGATTGTGAAGTGCTTTGAGTGTATGGCCATACACATTAAATGTGCTATATAAATACACACATTACATTAATATTAAAATAAAAATCCAAACTGAAATATAAAATGCAAACGCCATTTTTACAAAGCGTGTTATTAATGTTTACTCTATAATAGTGACACAATTTAAAACAAAATGTACATTTAAGCTTTCCTTTTATTGAAATGTTAAATTGGCAACTTCTTTTTAAATTTATCAATTTGACGGGGACGATGTGTTGTCAAAGTGAAAATGAAAATTAAATAATTCCATTTCGTTTTCAATTTTGGCAGATATTTAGCGAACAGTGTTTTAAAATGAAATTAAGTGTTAATTTGATTTTTCTTTTAATTTCAAATGTTTATTTGATCCATTTAAAATTGGCAGGATTTACCTTCCATACCTTTGAATGTACTTACTCATTTATCCTAATTTTAGCTGTTGCCAGAGATTATCCCATTTTCTATGTACTTCTCCCTCATTGTTCAATCTCCCCAGCATACACTCATATGATGCAGTTTCAATCATCCCATTAATCCACTCCTTCATTTCTACCAGTCTGGGACTCTTCTAATTACGTAGTATCACCCTAGCAGCAGTAATGCATCCAATCTCGACAAGGATAAAGGAGTTTTAATCTATATTAGGTATCACCAGTTTGTCACCCAGAAGGCATAGCCGTGGCTCTACAGGTAACTCACAGCCAAGCCACTCCTCTATTGTTTTTAAAATGTTACACTAGAATGGGTAAACTAGACAACATTCCCAGATCATGTGTAAATAAGTGCCCTCTTCTTTATTGCATTTCCAACACTGATTATTTCCAGCTAGTCCCATACTAGAGTCTGGGTGGTGTGTATTATTTTGTACTGAATGAACTTTCCTCTAACTTCTCTCATATTTTTACCTACATTGGAAAGGATGTCCAGCCACTCATTCTCCTCAATATCAATCCCTAGATCCTCAGATTATTCTCAAATTAATACTTCTAAGTTTTCATTGAGCATCATTTTGTAACACGTAGAAGCAGTCCTAGTATCCTGTGGTGACTGTAAATAAGCATATACAGGGTTGTCGTTCACGTTAAGTTTGTCCTTGATGCAGTGTCTAACTCTTCGCTGAGGCCATCTTCCAGCCTCAACCACGGCGAATGAAGCTCTGCACAAGACTTTTGGCCAGCGGAGAAATTAAAATGGTCGTGCCCAACTAAGTCTGGTTCTCTCAAGGTTTTTTTTCTTCACTCCCATCAGGTGAAGTTTTTTTTCCCTCTCCGCTGTCGCCACTGCCTCGCATGGTTCAGGATTGGTAGAGCTACGCATCGATGAATTGGCTCTTCAGTGTTTGAACTCTCTGTAATTATTAAATCACACTGAACTGAGCTAAACTGAACTGAACTGAACTTAAACACTAAAACCTGAACTACACTGTTCCAGTTACTATGACCATTTATGTGAAGCTGCTTTGACACAATCTACATTGTAAAAGCGCTATACAAATAAAGATGAATTGAATTGAATTGAACTAAATCAGAGTATGACATGTATATACCCTCCTCATGCAGATCCTTCACTTTAGCAATTCCTTTTAGTTGCCATTGTTTTCAAACCAAGTTTCCTTTTTGAAGTGTGTAATAAAATTATCAACACCCTGCTGAAAAATCCAGCTTAAACCAGCCTAGGTTGGTTAGCTGGTTGACCAGCCTGGTTTTAGAGAGGTTTTGGCCATTTCCAGGCTGGTTTACAGTCATTCCCAGCCTGATCTTTGCTGGTCAGGCTGGAAAATGACCAGCCTGGCTTATAGCTGGTTTTGGCTGGGCTCCCAGCCTGGCTAGGCTGGTCAAGCTGGATTTAGCTGGTCATCTACCAGCCTGACCAGCTAAGACCAGGCTGGAAATGGCTGGAAACCGGCATGGAAATGGCCAAACCCCCTCTAAAACCAGCCAGGTCGACCAGCTAAAACCAGCCTAGGCTGGTTTAAGCTGTTTTTTTCAGTAGGGTAAAACTTGCAACTCTAGATTTTTGGAAATCGAAAAAATAACAAAAAAACGTATTTTATTTGAAAAGTAACCCATTCACAAAACAAAATGTATGCTGACTGTACCAAACTGTGAACTATTTTTCATCGATCTAAAAAATGTGTATGATTCCCTGCTTCTGTAATGCCATTATACTAAAGCTATTAAGACATCCCAACTGCTGGAAAAAATACTTAATGTACATGATTAATTTTTGTTGTTAATTCACTTGTATAATTCTGAACTCCCCTGTTTACTCAATGGAAAGTACTAGACGACTCGAGCAATTCCACACTCCTGCGCAGCAGACGGCGGTAATTGAAAAAAAAAGGCTCATGCGCATGAGCGGAAGTTCGCCGGCATGATGTAAGATGCTAGAAAGAGTTCCCCGGATAGTAAGTGCAGTGCGAAGGTCAGTAGCGTAAAAAGCGAGTAAGTTACTGTAGAATACAGTACTCTTCTTATAATAATACTATTAAAATATAAAAAAATCAACATGCCGAGAGGAAGCCGAAGCAGAACTTCGAGGATGAGTCCTCCAAGGTGGGTAAAAGAGAGGAGCATCATGAGCTACGTGCTGTATTATCATGTTATCATTTATAATAATCGTGTGTCATTTACTCAACAAACATTTATAAACATTAGGCTCATTATAGTGACAATATATTGTTTCTGAAGTCTGAGTCCCCTTTGGTTGTGTTAGTTATTATTATAAAGAATAGTGGTGGTGATTGGAGAAGTGCGTGTTGAGTATTGAAGATGAATCTACATCAACTTTTGAGTATTTTTAATATTTTAAATATTTCATATTGTGATAACATTAGACATATTCACTGCTTGAAAAGTCTTATATAGCATTTCGTATGAAATAAAAACATTCTCCAGTGTAATTTTGTGTTTTGAATATGAGCATTTCCAGCGTTATGGATGTGACATTTGCAGTAACGTATAAACTCAAAACATAAATTCGCATAGAAAGTGTATGTTAATATTATATTGAAACTTCTGTTTGTATTATCCAAATCAACTCACCACAGAGTTAAGGGAGCTGAAAAATATACATTTGTAAACATGTTTTATATTTTAAATGAGGAAAATAAAGATGTGTTATGGATGTGACCAGAAAAGTATATGAATTTATAGTCTTCAACATATTTTGTATAAATTCTGTGAATTAAATTGCACAATCTAAAAGAAATAATGCTAATTAAAAAGGATTAGAGTTGACTCACTATAAAACAAACATGTTTGGTATTATTGTATTTTATATTTTTGCATTTTTGAGGAAAAAGTATCGTTATGGATGTGACATCTCTCCGTTATGGATGTGACAGATGTGAAAATGCCACTTGTGTGACTGGTAAATCAAATATAATAGTTTGAAAACATTGACAGAGACATTTCTGAGAATTTGTAAAGTACTGTAAAATACTTGCTCACAAACTTAGAAATGGTTTTTCGTATTTCGGTGAAAACGTCATTTTTTTCATGGCGAGGTTGACATTTGCATGAAATTGCTCACAGCGATTAATTAGAAAAACAAATAGGTGTAGAAAATGATGTCTACTTTGAAGTATTATTTGATTATTTAA